GGTGGGTTGGGAGGGTTTGGGGAGGAGAATCTCTTTTTTTTTGTAAAATTTTAAAAAAATTAAAAAAAAAGTGTTAACAACTACCATTTGGCCATTTAGTCAGTTATCCCTTGATTTAGCTGTGATGGGTCAGCAATTAAAGACGTGAGCTTGTCAGCTAGAAAGCTGACAGCCTGGGTTTAAGACCCAAGCACCATGCAATGGAGTGAGCTCCCCTTCCTGCTCCAGCTCCTGTTCACCTAGCAGTTCAAAAGATATCACTTCGATGGAAGGTAACAGTGTTTGTGCACATTTGTTGTATAAGCCATGCTGGCCACATGACCATGGGAAATGTCTTTGGAGAACACTGGCTCCCTTGACCAAGAAATAGAGACAAGCATTGCACCCTAGAGTCAGATATGACTGGACAGGGAAACCTTTACCTTTTTACCATTTCATTGTTATAAAATGGCATGGTTACAAAAGCCCTATTCCTGTTACTGTAATCTTTTCCCAAGTTATTTCTATAATACAGAATAGAACAGCATGTGTTCTCACATGACTGCGTTCTTTAATAATTTAGCTAGATGATTTATATGAGTGCCCATCTGAAAGATATAATTCTGGGTGGCCAAAGGAGTTAAAAATGAAAAACAAAAGATGGCCAACATAAGTAAAACCAAGGCCAAATCATAATCATATAGCACCAAGGCCAAATCATAATCATATAGCACAAGCAACTTGGGTAAAGAAGCCATTATATAATAGGAAAGGCTGGTACAATAGCAGCAATCCAATTTGATCCCTGTTTCACATTTTGTTAAATGCAGGATCCTGCCTTTAAAAGCCACTGGAATCTCTTGGATGAGTATAGCCATTTCACTGTCCCTGCTCTGGTTTGTGCCATGTTTAGTATCCAGGCCATCAAATTTGTGAGACAGGATTCCCTTCTGCACCCAGCCAGGTCATGTTAATAAAGTTCATGTTGACCTCTCATCCTCTATTAAATCTATTAAATCATAGATGCAGCAAACCTTATTATTAAGGTGACCAACATTTTTACAATGAGAAGGAGGACACAAATAAATTGAAGAAAAAAAATATCGTAAATAAAAGAAACATTTTATTCATGCAACAATAATACGGAATACACTATAATATGATAAATGCATAATAAAAACATTTGTAACAATAACATTTTATATTGTAATTATGCTTACGTGCCTATTAATTATTTAAATGAGTACTTTTCCATTGAATGAATATTTTTTGTCAATGTATCATCTTCTAACAATATATTAGAAATATCTGAACAAGAAATATCCTTCATATTGAATTTTACGGCAAGTGCTGCAGCTAGAGTATCAACATTCAATCTCAATTTCTCACTTTTCCAAAAATCATTAGCAATTGAAAAAACCCTTTCAACTGCTGCATTAGTTCCAGGACAGCATAACATAAATTGAACAAGAATAAATAAATTTTCACATGGAATATGTTCATTTTTGAAATAGCTGAATATTTCCACCCATCTTTTATCAATTTCAGTGTGTTTATTTTCCCATTGTATTAATTTTTCAGAATTTAAAAATACATTCAGTCTCTAATTTCTACAAAGAGACAACTGTCGTCTATTTTAATGTCTGGCATTTCTTTAGATAAAAACTCAACACGATTCAATATCTGTTTAATATACTTGTGATGAAGTCAAAAAAACACCATTGAAAACTGTTATTTCCTGTGATGTTTGTTTCAGACCATTATTCGATATACTGAAAACATGTTTGGTAAAAATTCTGCACTTCTTTGATAAACTTTTCCGTTATGCCCAGATTTGATTCCTCTAAGTCTGACAATTTTCTTTTTATAACTAAAGGAAGAATTTTTTTCTTCAAATCGAGTTTTATATTGAAGGATAAAGTCTTCAAAATAAGACTAACTTCGGTAGCTGAAATGTGTCCACCTTCAATCTTTTGAATCATTTTGTGAAAAATAGATGCTTTATTATGTACAAAATACATTAATATCTCAGATATTTCATTATTGAAAAATGATTCCAGGATTTTAGGACATTTGTCTAAACTTAAAAAATATGAACGGAGAGGTTCAAATAATTGTAGAATACGCTCTATAGCAGGTGTTAGAGCAAGCCATCTAACTTTTGAATATCCTAAAAAAATTTTGTATTGAACATTTGCTCCTTCACAAAATTGTTTTAAAGTAACCACACGAACGGTAAAATGACTAAAATACAAATAAATTGTAGTTATTATTACTTCTATATCAATTGGCATGGCACATGCCAATTGGCACATGTCCTGTTGATTGCATTTGACAAAATATGTGCATTACAACCTATTCCTAGTATTTTCTTTTGGAGTAAATCTTGTAATTTTACATACACATTATTCACCCCTTTGCATCTTCGCCCACCAAAATTTGTTGTATTATCAGCTGTGCAACAACTTTGGATTTCAAATTGTTTTCATTTATTACTCTGTATAGATGATTTGACAAAATTTCAGCAGTTTTGCCCTCAATGGATTCTAAATTTAAAATTTTTATTTGAATGCCCTTGGTAACATTAAAATATCTTACTAGTATTGGATACAATTTAGTTTCATTATGATTGGAGGCATCAGATAAAACCGTTACAAATGCTGCAGTTTCCAAGTCTTCTGTAAGTATTTTGTCACAGTAATTTTTAAATACTGATTTAATAATAACCTTGCATTTGGTCCTGGCATATGAAAATTTAGCATCGTGAAACTTTTTCAATAATTTAGTTGTATAATCCATACTACAAAAACTTTGATTGTGAATTATGGTATGAAATGCAAATGTTCCCTCCATTGCAACTAACTGTTTTTCATCTTCAGAATAATTTGAAGTTTTAAAAAACTTGTTACTTTACAAATGGAAGCAGATGCATCTGATGATTGCTTATGTTTCTTGGTGGTCAAGTGTTTCATAATAGCTGCTCTGCCCCCAAGTGCAATACAAAATTCACTGCTGCAAATATTGCAGAAAACAATGTTATCCTTCTTTGATATGAGGAATGGAAATCCCTTATTCAATTTATCGTTGAAATGGCATTTCCTCTTTTTTGATTTTTCCATCCCTAAATGAAATTTAAAATTAAAAATAAAATATAGAGCTACACGAATGATGCAAGCACATTCATTATGAATTAATAAAATTAATTATTAAAACTGAAACAACAACATAAGCTAATAAACTTTTAAATAAAATTATACATGTTTGGAAATTATTAAATAGATAATGAATTAATAAAACGTGAATTATTGTGTTCACCTGTGTATGATTGAATATTCACTGAGAAAGAAATGAGTCTAATGCGTGCGTGTGTGCCATGTCGTGTTTCAGTAAGAAGTAAACAAAGCCACTTGCATGCGGTGCACTCTTGCGCGTAGCACTCTCTCTCAAAACAATTCTCCTATGTGGAGCACATGCGTCTCATAATTGTGTCTCGCCGCACTGTATCGAGCCTTGATGAATCGTCATGTCAAATACAAATACGTCACATCACACGCAACGGATCGGATCGGCATCGATCGAATATGGAGATTTACAGATTAGTCTTCAAATATAAAAAAGGAGAACATGTAGGAGGGCACTTTTTGAGAGAGAACTTACAAAAGAAGGACTGTCCTCCCTAAAGGAGGACGATTGGTCACCTTATTATTATGGGCCAACCTGCTGTTTAGTAATTGCAGCTAAAAGCTTGGGGCTGAAAGCCAAGGAGGCTCGGGCCAAATACAAAGTACTAGAATGTGGGAATCAATATTGTTTTTCTAAGAATCTCCCAGCATATCTCTTTCTGCCCATCACCGCCATAATGGTTTCTGTTGAGTCCGTGGCGGGAAGCAGACACGAGAAGCAGTTGAAGTTCTCAGTTTTCTTTATTCTGCGTTCAGCTTACAAGTAGATGGCTTCAGCAGCTCCCCAAACCTCCCAACTTCTTATATAGACATTTCCCGGGTAAATGCGATACTTTTCCCACGCCAGCACCCGCGCATGCGCACGGCACTGGCGACAGCCTGTCTGGTCCCGGGCAGCTTTGCACCTGCCCAGGACTGCCTGCAAACGCCCGAGCCGTTTGCAAGGCTCGGGACATAACACCCCTTTCCCCCGGGCTAAAACTACTACCAACATATAATCATTTATTTTATGCAGTGTTCTGCTTCTCAGTGCTCCTATCGTTACCTGGCTTTTGTTTAGCCAGCAATGTTATGTAATCCTCTAAGTATTTAGGAGACTTCTTTGCTCTCTGTGACCTTCTCAGCTCTGTGTTACTAGCATGAGTTCCCTGACTGGAGGGAGATGTGAGCCTGTTCTCCTTATTTGCCTTGGTGCCTTCCAAGGACTGTGCCCCGCTGCCTGGCCTGCTTGCTCGCCCACCGGGCTCGTCAGGCCAGGGCTTCTGTCACTTTGTGACCTGGTTGACCTGCCTAGCTGTAGACCCTCGGGCCCCTTGAAGTGATAGCCACTGCTGGGCGTCTCTGTTGAACCTCCTAGGTCCATCCAAGACCTGTCAGGAGGCTGTCCATTCCCTGAACCCCGTTCTGTGTCCGGGCTTGTGTGGGTTTCTGTACTTTCCCAAAACTCAGTTACTCCCTGATTTGGGCTAGAGGTGTTGTAGTCGGGACTTGGTTCCTCGACCACCTCCCTGTATGTTTGACCCCCTGTAGGATTTGGGGTAAGGTCAGGCCAACCTTGGGAATTGTGTGCCAGCTCTCTTGCGGGGAATGATTTGTTGGGATGCCCCCGGGTATCCTCCGTGACTGGAGTGCTGTGTGATGTGTGTGGAAAGTATGGGGTGACTCCCTGGCTGGAGTAGGCGTGGATGCCTGGTAATTAGGTAGGCTCATAGAATTCTTGTTCGGAGCTCTCGCGGAACCCTGGGATGGGCCGTTTGTAGCTCCATCAGTGGAGATGGGCAGCAGCTCGTGCCCTTCCCTTTGCTCCAAAGGGTCCCTCTCCCCCCCCCTGGAAAAGACCCAGGAGTCTCATCTGAAAAGGCCCGCCGAGGGCGGAATTGGTCGATGTGCCGACGCAGGACACGACCGTTGTCCAGGGCTACCTTGTAGGAGAGAGGACCTGTGACCCTGGAAATAGAAGCGGGGACCCATGTATGACCAGGCCCGTAATTGCGAGCCCAAACCGGGGCACCCACAAGTAGTTGTCTAGGTGCCCTAGGATGTGAGGTAGATGAAGGCAGTCTGTCCGGATGCAACCGGTCAAGTTTAGTAGTAAGTTGACGCCCCCAACGAAGTTCAGCTGGGCTTCTCCCTGTAGAAGTGGACGGTGTGGTGCGATAAGAAAGGAGAAAGTCAGCCAACCTGTGATGCCAGTCCCCGTAGGTGAGTCTTTTCAATGCGTCCTTCGTGATGCGCACCATACGTTCAGCCATACCGTAGGTGGACGGGTGGAAGGGTGCAGACGTGGCATGACGAATCATGTTTGCCTGTAAGAAAGCTTGGAATTCGGAGGAAGTGAATTGAGGGCCGTTGTCGGACACAATGACATCTGGCAGCCCGTGTGCAGCAAAAATCCCCCTCAGTACCTGAATAGTCTTTGCAGTGGTGGTGGATGAGACAGGTACAACCTCAAGCCATTTCGAATGGCTGTCAACAAGGACCAAGAAGAACTGGCCCTGAAAGGGTCCAGCGTAGTCAATGTGCACCCTAGACCATGGGAACTGTGTTTCCTTCCATCTATGCACGGGAGCTTGGGGCATCTCTGGGCGAGATCGTTGGCACAGGTGGCATGCATGCACCTTAGCCTCAATATCTTTATCTAAACCAGGCCACCACAAGTGGCTGCGCGCAAGAGCCTTCATACGAACAATGCCAGGATGACCCTCGTGGAGGGATTCTAAGACCCTAGTCCTCATTGAGGTGGGAATGACAACTCTGTTTCCCCAAAGCAGACAACCCTGAGAAAGGGACAGCTCGTTCCTTTTGGACCAGAAACTCTGAAACTCAGGACTAGGGCAGTGCTCAGGCCAACCAGACAAAACCCAGGAACGGACACGTGAAAGTGTGTGATCTGTACCTGATTCAGCGGCAACATCCCTGGCACTAAGAGGGAGCTCGGGCAAGGCTTGGATTGATAGAATGTTGACAGCTGGCGCAGGGTCAGCTTCTACTACTGGCAGAGGCAATCTACTGAGGCCATCAGCATGGCCCATTTCTTTTCCAGGCTTGTGGAGTAAGGAAAAATCATATGCAGACAAAAAAATAGACCACCTAAGCATTCTAGGGGAAATGATTTGGGGAGTCTGCTTACGTGTGGTAAACAGTCCCAGCAGAGGCTTATGGTCAGTGAAGACCGTGAAGTGCCTGCCATATAGAAAGTCATGGAATTTTTTAATTCCAGCAACAACAGCCAGAGCCTCCCTGTCTATCTGAGCGTAGTTGCGCTCAGCAGAAGACAATGTTCTGGAGTAATATGCAACAGGAACCTGAGTTCCATCAGACCTGAGGTGGCTCAGGACAGCTCCAACCTCGTAAGGGGACGCATCACAAGTGATGCACACGGGAAGAGACTCGTTGAAATGTGCAAGTACACTGTTAGAAGTGAGCAAAGCCTTGACTTTGTTAAAACAACCCTCATGCATTTGTGACCACTGCCACACTGCTTGCTTGTCTAGTAGCCTGTGAAGAGGCTCAGCTACACTAGCTTTTTGTGGAAGAAAAGAATTGTAGAAATTCAGGAGGCCCAGGAAGGCCTGAAGTTCGGCCTTGGACTTTGGCCTAGGTGCTTCTAAAATAGCAGTCAGTTTGGATTCAGCAGGGTGAATCCCAGCAGCATCAATTTTGAACCCCAGAAATTCAGTAGAAGGCACCCCAATCATGCATTTGTCTTTTTTGAGCTTGAGGCCTGATTTCCTGAATCTTAACAGAACAGCTCTTAGCCTTTCAGCTAGAATGTGTGTGGAGTCTCCTGCAATTAAGACATCATCAAAGTAGGGGCAAACCCCCGGTATGCCCCGCAGTGTGTTTTCCATTACGCTTTGGAAAATCCCAGGAGCGACATTCACTCCAAACTGCAGCCTTTTTACCTTAAAGGCTCCCCTGTGGGTCACAATAGTCTGAGCTATAGCAGCATCATCATCAACAGGCAGCTGTTGATACGCTTGAGCTAGGTCAAGCTTTGCAAAAACGCGCCCCCCCTTGAGGGAGGCCAGAATATGACTGACCACAGGAACAGGATAGGCATGTTGCTGCAATGCCTTATTCAGAGTGCATTTGTAGTCAGCACAAATGCGAATGTCCCCATTTGCCTTTAGAGGCGTGACAATGGGGGTCTCCCAAGGACTGGAATCAACAGGTTCTAGGATTCCCTGTTGGATCAGTTTGTCTAACTCAGTGTCAATTTTACTTTTTAAAGCAAAAGGGACCCTTCTTGCTTTAATTCTAATGGGAGTGACAGTGGGGTCTAGCTTTAAGGACACAGGGGGTCCTTTGAATGTGCCCAGCTGGGGGCTGAAAACATCTGCAAATTCTTTGCAGACTTCCTGTAGGTCGAGTGTTTGTAAACTGTTGAGTCCTGTGACGTGTATCCCCAGGGCCTCAAACCAATCGAGTCCTATGAGACTCGTTCGTTCACCCCCTACTACTAATAAGTCTAGTGGACCTTCAAAACTCTTGTATTGCACGTTAAGGGTGGCCTCCCCCTTAACACACACTCTTGAATTTTGAAAATCTGTTAACACAATGTCAGAAGGCCTTAACTTGGCCTGAGTTCCACTACCGGAACAAATCTTCCTAAATGTATGCAAGGAGATAATTGAAAAGGCAGACCCTGTGTCTAGTTCCATAGATAATGGAACCCCTTGTAGCTTCACCTTGAGTGACAGCTTTTTCTTAATGGGCTTGTGTGTGCCTGTCCTAAGGATGCTTCTTCGCGAAGCGCAAAACCCTACCCTATTCTGGCTGGGGAATCTGGTACCTTTCAGGCGCAGTTCTTCCTGAGGTTGTACCTTTCGTCGGCTCAGACACACAGCTGCAATGTGTCCTTGTTTGCCGCATGCCCGGCAGGTAGCGGAGCGGAACTTGCAGTCGGTTCTCCTGTGGCGACCTCCACAGCCGATGCACTTGAGCGGAGCTGAAGAGCTTCCCTTCTGTTTTTCTTCCTTCGTGGGGTGGAGACGGTCGACTTCCTCGTCCGGATCCTCCTCGGAGTTTCTTTGGACGTCTTCCTGGTGCACGGATGCAACCTCTGGACTGTTTCTGATCGGCCGCATGTTCTTGACAGCGCCGCCTGCTGCTTCTTCTGCGGTGACTTCCCTTAAGGCATCTTGGTAGGACAATTCTTCTTTAGCGAAAAGTCTCTGTTGTAGATCTCGATGCCTTAACCCGCACACGAATCGGTCCCTCAGTCGTTCTTCGAGGTCTTTGAACTCGCAGTGCTTGGCGGCCTTCCGTAATGCGGCGATGAATTCTTTGGCCGACTCACCGGGCCGTTGATCCCTCTGCTCGAAGGTGTGGCGCCATGCGATGACGGACATCTTGGGGTGGAAGTGCTCCTTCAATAGCTTCTTCAGATCTGCGTAGCTTACAGACTCTACTGGAACAGGTGCTGCAAGGTTTTCTGCGATGTCGAAGGCGTCTTGGCCGCAAACACAAAGCAGGGTGGCAGCCTTCAAGCTCTCTTCCCTCACTTGGTTTGCCTTGAAGTAGTTCTCCACCCTGGCTACGTATGACTCCCACCGCTCTGGATGTGAGACGTCGAATTCCGAAAGCCTTCCGATTTTTGCCATCTTCAGGAGACGGGTCTATCAGCCAGCCTACCCCCGAATGCGCACTGGATTGGCGGGTAGCTGCCGAGTCGACGCCGTTCCGCCACTCAGGACTCACTTGGGTAAGCTTACACTTCTTCCTTTCCAGGCGGTGTAAGGCAATCCCATCCTCGTCGCCAGTGTTGAGTCCGTGGCGGGAAGCAGACACGAGAAGCAGTTGAAGTTCTCAGTTTTCTTTATTCTGCTTTCAGCTTACAAGTAGATGGCTTCAGCAGCTCCCAAAACCTCCCAACTTCTTATATAGACATTTCCCGGGTAAATGCGATACTTTTCCTGCGCCAGCACCCGCGCATGCGCACGGCGCTGGCGACAGCCTGTCTGGTCCCGGGCAGCTTTGCACCTGCCCGGGACTGCGTGCAAACGCCCGAGCCGTTTGCAAGGCTCGGGACATAACAGTTTCCAATAGTCCCACCAGCCCCTGCTATTCCTCATAGGAATCCTGAAACCATCCCCAACCAATTATATATATGAGGAAGTACTAAATATTGGCATTTGTACATCTTTAATATACATATTACATTAGAATGCATATCATGAAGTGTAGTCAGATAAATGAATGACTTCTATAGTTTGTGTAACTATCCAAGTCCAACTTTAATTAATGTCTATCTATGGAAAGAAGAAACAGAAAAGTAATACAAAGAAAAAGAAAAAAGGAAGCTTAGAAAAAAAAGATAAACAAAGAGGAAGAGCTTTTAGTAGATCTATTTATTCACTTTTTCTTGAAACATTTTAGATTATGATTTTATTGCTTGAGACCTTAAACCTAAAAAAAATAATCTTCTCTCACCCTCCCTATAGTTACATAGATTATGACTATATTTCCACTTAGGGTAAATGGAAATTTTCTTAGGAGTCAGGATGGAGATGTTATGGTGGTTATAGACATGTAGTTTTCTTAGTGGCAATCCAAGAGTGGGGATTTGAAAATATCCTAGAAGAAATTATTAGTAATAAAAGAATTCTGTTTCTTTCCCATCTAATTCACATCCCAGATTCCATTCTGTTTAGGTTTTCAAGCTAGCTAAGGACTAGGTGATGCCAGAGAAAAGCCTTTGACTTATATCCTTGTATTACAGACTCCATTGTAGAGCTTAGCTTTTAATACTTCATAAATCCATTCAGCAGATTGGCAGCAGAGCAGAAGCAAATTGCCATTGTCTTCTTGTATATTTTTCAATTTTTTAGCTTAGCTATATCTCTGGAATTTCTACTTGGAGTCCTGCCCAAGTATTATCAGAAATAACCAAAAGTATAAAAAAAAAATCTGTCCAGGTTACAGCAGCATTTAGTATTTAGTTATTGAGATCCACTACTGCCCAAATTTAATGTCCAGTGTTCTTGGGAGGTTTGTAAGGAAAATAGCAATGTTATGCTCATGGGAAAAGATTGAATGTGTAGCAAATGCATATAAATTAGTCACAGGCCTAGAGAATCTGCCTCATGTAGGCCTTATCTGAGTTTTTAGAATTTGTTTTCCACTGGGGCAGTTATTTATGGTTCAGTAACTACAGTTATCAGAACGATAGAGAATCTCCTAATTATCACATGAACAAACCAATAATTGTGTCAATAAGGAGAGGGAGAGGGGATGGGTTAATAAAAAAATTGATCCTCCATTACAGTTTGTTAAATATTGGCTTTGTTGAAAATCTGTGAGAAATTTTGTTATGTATTGATGTGAATTACTTGGAAACTGTTGGAAACGGTCAAACGACTGCGTCTGTTTAAACTTCAGACTGTCTGTCTACATACTTGTTAGCTTGTATTTAAGCAGGAAATACTGCTTTAATTCTATTGGCCGCTGCCTAGTGGTGATTTGTATAAATAGAGGTTAAGCGGCAGTTAGTGCTGCTTCTGTGTTAACTTAATAAACAGGTTGTTGTTTGCACCAATTGCCTCATCAATGCCTCATCGATCCCAAAACTTAACAGTGGTGACGAAGGTGGGATGTGCAAGAGAGAGAGAGAGAGAGAGAGAGAGGGAGGGAGAGAGAGAGCCAGAAGTCACTAGCAGTGAGACTAGGCCTCAGAGCTCTGGTAGGAACCATGTTCCCCCCTCTGCCTGCCAGCAAGCAATGCTGGAGGCCCACGTCCTGAGGGATCTGCCCCTAGGACCAACACAGAAGCATTAGCAGCACAAGGCATTGAGAGGTCGGAGACAACTAACCATGGCAAGCTTGGAAAATGTGTTGCATCCTGAGAAGTGGAGTTCTTACATTTCTCACGTTGAGAACTATCTGAGAGCTAACCAAGTTAGCAAAGATGGTTTAAAGGCCACAATGCTGCTGTGCATGTGTGGCCAGGCGATGTTCGATATAGCTGAAAACCTAGTCACTCCAGCTATGCTGGAGTCGGTCGCCTACTCCAAACTCAAAAAAATGCTCAAGGAACATTTCAAGCTGAAGCTCTCCATCATTGCCTGAAGACACACATTTGAACAATGGGAGCAGCAACCAGGCAAGTCTGCCGCCGAGTTCATAGTCACCCTATGACAGGCATCCCTGCTCTGCAATTTCACAGACCTCGAAGAGAGACTGAGAGACTGTTTGGTATGTGGATTGAGAAACAGGGACCTTCAGCAGAAGTTGTTGCAAAGAAGACCTTAACATTCCAAGACGCCCTGAAGGAAATTATGGCCGAAGAAGCTGCCAGGGGAGCTGTCCAAGAACACTCCCAGCCCAGAAACCGTCCACCATGAGGACACGGAAAGAGGTGAGGACCCCGACATGGACCATGAGATCGATCGGCTGTAGAAGCCACCAGCAAGAGCCCAGCAGCCATTTGACAAGGAAGTTCCCTTCACTCAATGTGTGGGTTGTGGAGGCCAACATAGACGCTCAGAGTGCAGGTTCCGCACAGCAACGTGCTGGGTGTGTGGCAAACAAGGCCACATTGCCACCATCTGTAAAGGTCACCAGAGAGAAATTCTATAAGAAGAGTTCCCCAGGAAAGGTACTAGGGACCCAGGGCAACACAGAGTTGGCTATTGCTCCAGCAGAAAGAGCGTGTTTAGAACAGGTGCCCATCATCTCCTTAAAGAAAAGCTGAAACTCAAAGTCAAGCTTCAATGAGTTCCATGCCACATGGAACTGGACACTGGGTCCCAAGGAACCTTTAACCACATTTGCAGTCACAGCGGCAAACAAGTTAAACTCAAGCCGTCAAATCTCCTGCTAACAGATTTCCAAAATTCCCACATAGCGGTTAAAGGAGAAGCTATGCTCAAAGTACAGTTCAAAGAGTTTGAGGGTTTCCTGGACATCGTGGTAACTGAAGGTCACCACACAAGCCTCATCGGGCTAGACTGGTTTGATGCCTTGGGCATCCATGTGACTGGCATGAACAGAACACAAGCAGCGGACCTGATGGCAGTTTGCCAAGAGTTTGCTGATGTTTTCAGCCCTCACCTAGGGAAGTACAAGGGATCTCCCATTGCCCTCCACCTTGAACCCCAATAAAAATCAAGCCTCACAGAGTGCCTTTTGCCCTCAAACCAAAAATTGATGCAGAGCTGGACAAGCTGGTACAACAAGGCATGTTGCAGCCAGTAGATAGCAGTCGGTCGGAAACCCCCATAGTTATGCCACTTAAGGCCAATGGTGAGGTGTGCATATGCGCAGATTATAAGTGCACTATTAATAGAGCGCTGCAACAACATTCATATCTGGTGCCTGTAGTCAGCCACATTTTGGTGTCACTGCAGGGAGGTCGCGTATTTGCCAAATTGGATTTGGCTCAAGCCTACCAGCAACTGCCCATGGATGATGCCACAGCAGAAGCTCAGACTATAGTTACCCACAGGGGAGCTTTCAGGGTAAGGCACCTACAATTCAGGGTCAATGTAGCCCCAGGGCTTTTCCAGAGCATGATGGAGTGCACGCTAAAAAATATTCCAGGTGTGTGTCCTTATTTCAATGATGTCCTCATAGCTGGAGAGTCAGTAGAAATATTGGCAAAATGGCTCAAACAGCGTTTCCACGAAGCGGGGCTGAAACTGAAGAGGGAAAAATG